AAAATATATCTCCCAAAATAGGCGAAATATCTGACGTCAAAGAAATGGGCTTTACACATTGTACCCATTTTGAGATTCGAACCCGGCGTGACGAGCGAACGTTTTAACCACTAGGCTACCCCACCGCCCCCCTTAGGTATAAGGCTGTCAATCGGAGGGTTCTTTATGTGGTAAATTCCTCTGAACAATGCTTGGTTTATGGAGAACAAACATGCGACAGCATCTCCTTCGGCGTTCGAAATTATCATTTCCTGATAATTGAGATATTGGCTGATTTTAAGTCACGACATTACAGCTACTTTGTATTGTCATAAAGACAGTACTTTCTCAAATAGATTATGCAAAATGTGTGACGTGTTTTGCTTTTGTCACTGGAGTTCAACTCAAAATATTAGTGTTTCTTTGCAGTTTTACGCGGCACTCAGCAATATTCCAGCTGTATGGCTGCGGTCTGTAGATAATCGAATCTGGACCAGACAATCTAGTACATGAGCATCGATCTACGTAATTGGGATACGATGATATGTGTGAACCACGGCAGCGAGCCTGACCACCCGATCAAGTTAGTCGCCTCTTACGACAAGCATGGGTTGCCAAAGACCAACCCTAACCCGGATCTTCAAGGGTCCAAAATATGAATGAATGTGGTTTTAGTAATATTCCATCAATATCACAGTGGTTCTGGAAAGGTCTTCACATATTTTTCCCATTGGGGAATAGAACCTGGTCAGCGGCGTAACGAGCGAACGCTTTATCCACTAGGCTACCCCTCCGCCCAAAATACGTGGGAAAACTATTAGTTATTCATTCATGAGTTCGTGTTTCATTCTCCTGGGGGAGTAGGGAATTCTCCCTAAAAACGAATTCCAACAATCATTGTTTGCCATGCACCCCAAGAAATACACAGCAAGAATTGGTATTAATAGCGGACCCAAATAAGAAGGATGGAACCCTTCAAAAACATTTTTCAATAGTCTTTGCTGATGAATCAGCTGAGCATCTCGCTGAAATCAGGAATACGTTGAAATGTACCCCGGATGTTAGCGCCGTAACCCAGAATCCATTTCTTGTACACACACAGAACATTCATTACACAACCTGAAAACACCACAGCAATATAAATCAGAGCACCACTTCATACCATTTAGGAGAACACTGTCGGAGTGAATATAAAACATCTTCTCCACATACTTCTGCCAGGAAGCCCCAATGAAACCCAACAGTGCACGGATGATTTACATCACATTGCATAAGTAAGAAAGGACGCTCGTGAAGATCCGGGCTAGAATTGATCTTCAGTAACCCATGCTTGTCGTCAGAGGCGACTAACGGGATCGGGAAGTCACGTTCGCTGACTTGATTGACACATGCCATCGTTTCCCAGTTGCGTAGATCGATGTTCATGCTGTTGATCACTGGTTGTCTGGTCCAGACTCGATTACGTACAGAGCGATGCCGTTTAGCGTGGCGTTAAACAACAAGCAAGCAAACAAACGAAACGCAACCAATTATTTCATGGTGATAATATAACAACACAACAAAAATTTGAATGTATGCAAATAAGATCGGTGATGGCGTTTACCTGTCTCACAGAAGAAGTTGATCAACCACGATCCCTGATAATATCGTCAATATGTTCCCTGAGCAATCCGATGTCAATTGCACATTAGAAAAAAATATATATAAAAAGATACTTTACTTCTCTCTGTTTTTCACACGTTAAGATCCTCTGGGACGCGTTGCTTGGGTGACTAAATTACCTGTTTGTATATCTGGTTGCTATGGTAATTATCACACCGAGGTATGTGACTCAGTGCCTCCGTCACACCCACCCACTAATGAGAACCTAATGATAGAATGTTTTTTCAAATGATGATCCCTTTTTTACATGCATGTCATCACTTTTTTGGTTAGCGAGGGATTAAATGGTTTCAGAGAATTAATGTCAATAACGAAAGCAATGAGAGCAGCAAATTTGAGACATGTCAGGAAATTTGGACAACATGTATTGTTTGTTGTTTAACACCGCATTCATCATTATTCCAAGTATGTAACAGCAGTCTGTAAACAATCGTGTTTGGACCTGACAATCCAGAGATTGACATCATGAGTGTTAATGATGTGCATCCTACTCATCATAGAACCTGACCGACCGACCCTGTTAGACGCATCTTTGCGACGAGCAGAGGATGCTGAAGATCAACTTTAACCCTGATCTTCATGTTTGTTTCTGTAATGATGATAATATACTATGGATGAGTGAGTGAGTGAGTTTAGTTTTACGCGGCACTCAGCAATATTCCAGCTGTATGGCGGCGGTCTGTAGATAATCGAATCTGGACCAGACAATCTAGTACAACAGCAGCATCGATCTACGTAATTGGGATACGATGACATGTGTCAACCACGTCAGCGAGCCTGACCACCCGATCAAGTTAGTCGCCTCTTACGACAAGCATGGGTTGCCAAAGACCAACCCTAACCCGGATCTTCAAGGGTCCAAAATATGAATGAATGTGGTTTTAGTAATATTCCATCAATATCACAGTGGTTCTGGAAAGGTCTTCACATATTTTTCCCATTGGGGAATAGAACCTGGTCAGCGGCGTAACGAGCGAACGCTTTATCCACTAGGCTACCCCTCCGCCCAAAATACGTGGGAAAACTATTAGTTATTCATTCATGAGTTCGTGTTTCATTCTCCTGGGGGAGTAGGGAATTCTCCCTAAAAACGAATTCCAACAATCATTGTTTGCCATGCACCCCAAGAAATACACAGCAAGAATTGGTATTAATAGCGGACCCAAATAAGAAGGATGGAACCCTTCAAAAACATTTTTCAATAGTCTTTGCTGATGAATCAGCTGAGCATCTCGCTGAAATCAGGAATACGTTGAAATGTACCCCGGATGTTAGCGCCGTAACTTAGAATCCATTTCTTGTACACACACAGAACATTCATTACACAACCTGAAAACACCACAGCAATATAAATCAGAGCACCACTTCATACCATTTAGGAGAACACTGTCGGAGTGAATATAAAACATCTTCTCCACATACTTCTGCCAGGAAGCCCCAATGAAACCCAACAGTGCACGGATGATTTACATCACATTGCATAAGTAAGAAAGGACGCTCGTGAAGATCCGGGCTAGAATTGATCTTCAGTAACCCATGCTTGTCGTCAGAGGCGACTAACGGGATCGGGAAGTCACGTTCGCTGACTTGATTGACACATGCCATCGTTTCCCAGTTGCGTAGATCGATGTTCATGCTGTTGATCACTGGTTGTCTGGTCCAGACTCGATTACGTACAGAGCGATGCCGTTTAGCGTGGCGTTAAACAACAAGCAAGCAAACAAACGAAACGCAACCAATTATTTCATGGTGATAATATAACAACACAACAAAAATTTGAATGTATGCAAATAAGATCGGTGATGGCGTTTACCTGTCTCACAGAAGAAGTTGATCAACCACGATCCCTGATAATATCGTCAATATGTTCCCTGAGCAATCCGATGTCAATTGCACATTAGAAAAAAATATATATAAAAAGATACTTTACTTCTCTCTGTTTTTCACACGTTAAGATCCTCTGGGACGCGTTGCTTGGGTGACTAAATTACCTGTTTGTATATCTGGTTGCTATGGTAATTATCACACCGAGGTATGTGACTCAGTGCCTCCGTCACACCCACCCACTAATGAGAACCTAATGATAGAATGTTTTTTCAAATGATGATCCCTTTTTTACATGCATGTCATCACTTTTTTGGTTAGCGAGGGATTAAATGGTTTCAGAGAATTAATGTCAATAACGAAAGCAATGAGAGCAGCAAATTTGAGACATGTCAGGAAATTTGGACAACATGTATTGTTTGTTGTTTAACACCGCATTCATCATTATTCCAAGTATGTAACAGCAGTCTGTAAACAATCGTGTTTGGACCTGACAATCCAGAGATTGACATCATGAGTGTTAATGATGTGCATCCTACTCATCATAGAACCTGACCGACCGACCCTGTTAGACGCATCTTGCGACGAGCAGAGGATGCTGAAGATCAACTTTAACCCTGATCTTCATGTTTGTTTTCTGTAATGATGATAATATACTATGGATGAGTGAGTGAGTGAGTTTAGTTTTACGCCGCACTCAGCAATATTCCAGCTATATGGCGGCGGTCTGTAAATAATCGAGTCTGGACCAGACAATCCAGTGATCAACAGCATGCGCATCGATCTGCGCAATTGGGAATCGATGACATGTGTCAACCAAGTCAGCGAGCCTGACCACCCGATCCCGTTAGTCGCCTCTTACGACAAGCATGGGTTACTGAAGGCTCATTCTAACACGGACCTTCATGGGTCTATGTGTATGTATGTATGTATGTATGTATGTATGTATGTATGTATGTATGTATGTATGTATGTATGTATGTATGTATGTATGTATGTATGTATGTATGTATACGTATATATTTATATACTGTTCATATAATATATCTAAGATATTAATTATGTACATCAAACTTTACTTCAAATACAAATCCTCGAATGGCAAAATCTAACTTCTGTTTTTTTCACCTACACCAAACACTGAGTTGTGGAATGTACATGTGTAAACGAAATATGGAGTTCATATTGAAAGGATTTCGTGGGCCAGACTCGATTATTTACAGATTGCCGCCATATAGCTGGAATATTGCTGAGTGTGGCGTTAAACAACAAACAAATCAATCATATTGAAATATTGTTCATGGACAATCATGGTGATGACGCATTTTGTTTGTGCAAATTTTGCAAAAAGCATTACCGCGGTTGTTTTGTATTGCAAAAAAAATGTATAAACATGAACCAGAGTGATATGGAATAGACTAACACTGATAGTGTCTGAGATGATCACTAACAGTTTAGCATAATGGCCATGGCATAACGTGATTCTATTACATTCGGGGTATTCTCCAAGAAAAACGTTTAGATAATAAACGTACCTTACATTGCCATCCAAACGGTATCCGTCTTCAAAACACCATGCTTAGTTTTCAGTCATAAACTTAATCCCGTCTCATCCTCTCCTTCATCTTCATATCTTTATTCAGAAATCCGGTACCAAGAAGAATTTACCAACTTTCGAGGCACCAAGGATACAGCAGTCAACATTTAAGTATTCCAAAACTATGAGAGCGCGAGTCCGAGAAACGTGTGACGTCAGATTGAAGCGAACCACGTTTCCAAGGTGTTTGTAATCACGTGATTATTGTCCCACGCTATAGAATCTGTCCAAAGTGAATTAAGGATTGATTGAGCAGCGCGCGGTAAAATGATATGGGAGTGTCGATTCCTGGGGATCTCTGTAGAAAATGTCTGTGGAATGGGTTTTCAGGTAAAGTGCACTGTGGAGCTGGAGAAGGCGGCCACTATATCAATCCAGCGGCGTCAGTGTGCGCTTACTCCGTGATCTGGAAGATAATGTTCATTTTCAGATCTTCATGTCCAACAAGAACATTACAATAGTGTCACAGGGTAGAAAATTAAAGTTTATATTCTTTTTTCGTATAATGTGAACTATGTTCTACGGTATTGAAAATTAAAACATACACACTATGTTTTTGAAGGTGTAAATGAGACTCGAACTATTGAGGGATCAATTTATGTGTACATTAAGTCATTTTTCATTGATATGATTAATCTTGATATAAACAAAGATTCGTACTAATAAAGATGTGTTTGTCACTAAATACATTCAAATCTATTAATTCCTATACAAACACTGAAATAATTTTAATTATGAAAGTAATACCCTTTATATAACACAGCATAATATTGACAAATCTTGGGTGGTACATTTTAGGTAATGGTCGTGTCAATACACTGTCAATGGTCACCCTCGCACAGAGGCCCGACGCAAAGGTTCATCAACTTCTTTAACTGTGACAGGTCTTTTTAAATGGGATGGTGGCCATATTGCTGCCCAAATCTGTCATCTGGGTTTTTCTATTACTAAATGCACCTTTACAACAAGATACATCAGCTACAAGGTGCTTGGTAGTACCATCGGCGTGGGACGTATATCCTGTATCCGTTACCTTCCTTACATTAAACACTCGTTGTATGCTGTAGCCATTTTCGGCTGATCGTGATCGATAACTTATTTTCCGCTGTTTTTAATTCTGCCCTCAGATTACCTCTAAACAGTGAGCAGATGATGTGCGCGTTGTTTTTCTTAAACGTCATTTCCTCAAGCAGTGCACGTTCGATATTAACCTGTTTGAAACACATTAACCTACAAATAGTATACATTTGGCACCGTGCACAACAGCTTGACTGAGATTATAAAGGTTTATTTATTTAAGAATTTAGTGAGAAAGGAACAAATTCGAAAAACCCAACTTTGTTGAATTCTCTAGTCGATTAGATCAGGTTTGCAGGTAACGAATGATTTTCTACTTAACGTTTTTATCCATTAACCACAATAATTCAAGAGCTTGGTGAACATATTTAACTTATCTGCCAAGTTTATTACTGAAGAGGTATGTGGGCATGTTTCAACAACCTCTTTACGACAGGATAACATACGCAATAAAGATGACTTTATCATTCAGTTGCGCAATCCGTGTCATGGAGAGTCTCTTTTTTCGATTTAGCATCTTTCGACCAGTTTTACACAAACCATTCACGTAGATTAAAGGCAATACGCAAATGTTTAAACGCACATCGACCTCCATTAGACGATGTCGTTCACAAGAATGTCACTCAGATTGCAGCGTTGTTGGTTCTCGCTTGATAACAACATGATATGGTCATATAGAAGCAGGTATTTAGTGTGCGGTCGTGAGAACTAGCCCGATGTTTGAACTAAAACAGACAGGCTAATTTAGTCCCTGGTTACCCGTCATCGCGTGTGAAGTGTGCTGAAAGCGAATTGGTTCCCGTGAACGACATCCGTAAAAGAACCGTTATATTTATTCTGTGTGTCCAAGTGCTCCTACTGTTGGGAGAGTCCTTTGGCTGAAGCATTATGAAGAGCTCTTTAATGAAGTAATCTGTATTTACATAAGTGAGGTGAGCATTCTTCGTTACACTGTGCAGTCATATAGTTAAGAGGTAATAATTGCTCAAAATATTCTTTCTGATTGTAAAATGAAGATTAAAGATTGTGAAATGAAATATTTCATTAGTTTCCCATGTTCTCTTGACAAGAAATATTGGTATATGCTAATGAAGTGGTCTAAATAAATAAATACACAATAAGATTTTTTTTTGGAAATCTGGACCGTTGGGAAGTGCTGTATGTCTTGCTTTAAGGCGGTAAATGACCGTAACCAAGTTAGGCTATCCTCTGAAGTTTACTGAAATAGTATTCAAATTGACCCAACAATAGACATCGGGAATGTTAAAGTATTCGTTTATCAGTCAGACGACATCTCGAGTCTTTAACAATTCCATCTTTTTGACATTTCCATTCCTTTCAATTCTATCCTTTGACAGTTGGATTCCATATAATTTTAGGCTTTTGACATCTAGATTCCTTTCAATTCTGTCTTTTTGACATCTGGATTCCCTTCAATTCTGTCTTTTTGACATCTGGATTCCTTTCAATTCTGTCTTTTTGACATCTGGATTCCTTTCAATTCTGTCTTTTTGACATCTGGATTCCTTTCAATTCTGTCTTTTTGACATCTGGATTCCTTTCAATTCTGTCTTTTTGACATCTAGATTCCTTTCAATTCTGTCTTTTGACATCTAGATTCCTTTCAATTCTGTCTTTTTGACATCTGGATTCCTTTCAATTCTGTCTTTTTGACATTTCGATTCCTTTCAATTCTGTCTTTTTGACATCTGGATTCCTTTCAATTCTGTCTTTTTGACATCTGGATTCCTTTCAATTCTGTCTTTTTGACATCTGGATTCCTTTCAATTCTGTCTTTTTGTCATTTCGATTCCTTTCAATTCTGTCTTTTTGACATCTGGATTCCTTTCAATTCTGTCTTTTTGACATCTGGATTCCTTTCAATTCTGTCTTTTTGACATTTGGATTCCTTTCAATTCTGTCTTTTTGACATCTGGATTCCTTTCAATTCTGTCTTTTTGACATTTCGATTCCTTTCAATTCTGTCTTTTTGACATTTGGATTCCTTACAATTCTATGTTCTTTCAGTGACTTCAAGTATTTTCAATGGAAATACAACCGCTAGATATATACAATGAACAAAACTCATGGTTTCATTATCTGATTGCTGTTTAGTGAATGCAGTTTACGACCTTGAGTGATAGAGAGTATTCTTAATTCCTTGTTCATGTACTGTCTGAAGTTGATCGGCTAGTGAGCTCGTCCGTTCAATCTGAGGTTCGAGGGACCTTGCTTTCAATATCAGTTGGGAGATGCGCTTGTCTATTTGTTGGTTTGTTTGTAAATCAGGGAAAATCGGGATTCGAACCACCGATCAGATGTTTACGTCACGCCAAAGGGTCGCAACCATGTACAGCAAACTCTGGCGCCTGAGACAAACGGACCACCCAGGGCAACCTTAACCACTGCTCCAGGAGAGATGCTGAACGTGATATTGTCTTTTTAAAGTGTGAAAAATTGCACCTGATGTTGAAATGTTCACCTGTGCTTGTCTGTATAGATGTTTTGTTGTTTATTCTAATCTTAGTTAAAAAGTAGAGTATTCCTGTTTCAAGCTTCTAATAATCAAGTACAAAGCCATATGTCAATCTTAAACTCTTTGCATCGATTTCTTTGACTATGCACTTTTACATGACAGCATGCATTTGGAGAGGAACAGTTTTCTAACTCGTTTGCAATTCCACCCAACTTCGTTTTAAATTCTACACACCTCGAATACAGCCCAAACAACCGTTTGTAGCTTCTTTTACCTGTTGTGTAATATATTAAACACGGCAGGTAAACACGTAATAAAAATGGAGACTTAAGAAGAGACGCTCTTGCTAATCGGGCGTTTCAAAATGCTGCTTTTGTTTAACAAGTCTGTTGTAGCAGAGATTGCAATACATCAATGCCATGCGAGGAAACCGTTGCGATATCGCACCCTGCCTAAACAGGGCCGTGTACACACACACGGTGCATTAATACAGATAGCCAATGATTGAGAAGGAGAAGGGCCTCTTATGAAATAAGAAATATGCGGGTTTGACGATTTATGGGTTCATTGGTCGATGGGGATCGGATCAGATTGCGGTTGGAATGTTGGTTTGAAAGCAAATATGCTGAAATATTGAAACATGTCACTGGCAGTATATAGCTTCTTTGTACGAAAATAGCGTTATGGCCATTAATTACAAAACCTTTCATTTTTGTCTTGCTTTTATATATGCCCTCAAAGAGTATATGACATCGTGCCGTGGTTGAATTGAAATTATGGGGGCTGTTTTGTATAACAAAACATACTGGCATACACTCGACATGAAACATTTAGACAAGATTGCAGAAATGTACCGTCACGTTAACCTTAACGAGGACACGGGGGCTAGTTGTCTAAGTTGCCGCAATTATTTGTGTAGAGTTACCGCCCTTGGCACGCCAGGAATCTATGATCGAAGGTTGAAATCTCGGATCTCCCGATTGTTTGAGCGCTATAACCATACTCGTCATGAATGTGAGTGAGTATGGTTTTACGCCGCTTCTAGCAATATTACAGCAATATCACGGCGGGGAACACCAGAAATGGGTTTTTACACACTGTACCCATGAGGAGAATCGAACCTGGGTCTTTGGCATGACGAGGGAATACCTTAACCATCAGGTACCCCACTACCCCCGTAATTAAAGTGGAACATGTCTAAGGCCTGCATTACATTGGGCTTTCCTTCACACCTCTTTTGAATACTTCCCGTTAGTATGTTCATATGATGTGTACTAGTATTTTTCACGTAACAGCTGACTGAACTTTGCGTGTGTTTGTGAGGTTGCAATCCGTGTGGAAGGATAGAGAGAGAGAGAGAGAGAGAGAGAGAGAGGTTAATTATGTGTCACACGTTACGTAGTAAGATAGTAGTTGGAGATTTACAGTATCTTTATACAAGACAGTATCACTGGTGGTAATGAGCACCGTTAAGATAATGTTCATAAATTTATTTCAGATTTGAAAAGGAAGGAATTAATAACAAACAGAATGAATACAGAGAGAGAGAGAGAGAGAGAGAGAGAGAGAGAGAGAGAGAGAGAGAGAGAGGGGAGGGTTCGACTAGTATTCAGTTACATAATGACGCCTTAGCTTAACAATGGGATAACGCAACTTGATGACATGTGTGAGGGCCGAAGAAGCTCTAAACAGAGGATACTTAGAAGCCTCATTCCCGCATACCGCCTCTTTCAGTATG